TTGCTATCAAAGTCTGTTTCAGCAACATTTTTCTGTATGTTTAGTCTCACAATGGTAATAAAAACTGTAATCCTTAAACACCACAACCTGCTTTCCAGAAAGCAATGACACGGCTTAACCTCTGACCTCAGTAAACAGTCCATGTCGTATTCTGCACTACCAGCATTCTCTTGCACACATGTATGCATGTAAATTTGAAAAGGAAAGAGCAATCACCTTCAAAATAAAAGCAACAAAGCGATTTGTCCGATTCCCTTCATCATCGCATAAAACAGTAAGTGGTCTTAAGGTTATGATTAGCAGCTGAAATGGGACATACATGGTGTATACTTATTTACATCTGAAACCTAATTTTCAGATTTTCTAATTGGCCAGATGTGGCCTACAGGCCATGCAATGCCCGAGTTGCCCCAGCAGATGCACAGGGGACAACTTCAGGTTTTAAGATCTTGCCCAAGGATACTTCAATATGTACAGTAGTGGAATCATTGATTGAACAACTTACCTTATGACTTGTGGATGGCTCTCTTTACCTCACGAAGCACAGCTGTGATAATCAACAGCTACAGTTGCTGGGCCAATACCACATAAATGTAAAAAAAAAAACGAGAGAGTTTCCCTCCTGGAGAATTATGACCTGACTGATGTTAATTTTTTTTCTATTAAGCGTGTTTCAAGTAGGTCCTTGTTGGGATGTCTGTGAGTGCAGATTGAAAGGTATAGCAATGTGCCCACATTGCTGTGTATACAGGGCAAGAGTCAGAAAACTAATGCTCCTGAAAGCAGACTGGATGAATTATGAAGACAAATCATTCCACTGATTTAACTACATAAAAAGTGCAAGTGTTATAGTTTTTGACCAAAGACTCTTTGAATAAAACTACACTAAACAGCGAGAGAGTTTGTTTTTAGATAAGGGGGGAAATGCAAAACTATAAATAACAGTATACCCAAGAGTTTTTTTAAAAAAAACCAATAATTTTATCCCGTTTTGTTGTTTGTCGAAAGTGAAAATCGTAACTTACATTACAATTTTTACATATTAACTGGGCAGTCTTTTTTTTTATTTTTTATTTAACCTCTATTTATACAGGTCTCTCTTGTAATTGAGACCCAATGTCTCATTCACAAGATAGACCTGTTTCAGACAAACATATTAAAATTACAATAATAATAATTACAAAAATAATTTAAAAAAATACATAAAACAATAAAATAGCTAAATATGTCTAATGTACACAGTCATATTAAAAACAAGTTGCCAGAGATGATTTTGAAGTCTGCAAGTAACATCCTTCTGCAATGTAAAGATGTGTTGGCAGGGATCCAGTTGACAAGTACCTCTAGAAAGAAGCTTTTGGGTTTAAATTCAGTGTTAGCTTATACTTGTAAGTGTAAGCTAATAGTCAACAACAAGGAAATGAACTTCTGCAAACACTTGAGTAGCTGACAGCCCCCTGGAGACAGCAGAAAATTGCTAAGGGATAGTGAGTTGAGCTTCTAGTCTCAAAGTTTATTTACAACTCTAGTGGTGTTGAAACGTGTCAGGGGTCTTTGGGAGCCCTCTTGTACAAAGGGCCTTGAGCGGATATTTAATGGAGCTCTCAATGAAGAGAGGGAAAGAGAGAAAGACAGGATGACATTGTCTCCGTCTGAAGACTCACCTCTTTCTAATTGCCTCAAGTCGTATTGATTACCCAAGACCCCTCACACACCTCTTCTATGTGATCCCTTCACTCTGTGTAATCCCCACACAGAGCTTACAGACCAGGTTGTTTGCTGTTTTCTGATGTGATTAGCAGTATTGATCAAAGTGTGTGTGTGTGTGTTTTTATTTGTGTTTGGGGGCACCTTGCGTGTTTGATCACTCAGTAATTGGATGCTAAAAAGATGGAAGGAAAGAAATCTGCTTAATAATATTCATCTGATGATCATGCATCAAACATCAAACTTTCTCTTGCAACAACACCACATATATACCCACACACACCGTTTCCAGAAACCAGCACTTAAGCTGGGCTTCTATCACCCCCTCGTCAGGCCTGGAGGTGTGTTTAAGCGGCAGTTTGAGCCCCTGCACATTACCAGACATCTTACTGTGACACCACACACTCTTACTGCCAGTCATTCTTATTCCCTCGTCTGTCTTTCTGTCCCTAAGGGAAATGAAGATGACTTCATCCCTGTGCAATTAAATGCTCTCATTCTGTCTGGCCCTCTTCTATTTTGTGTATGTGTGTATGTCTGTGTGTGTGTGTTAGTGAAATGGATGAGATGTCAGATCCTGTGCAGACAGTTGGAGTAAGGACTAGACCAGAAAGTGAGCTAATCTCCTTCCATCCCTTCACTGATTGGAAGAACCCTGGACCCCAGCAATAACGCCCACCAATTAGACAGGCCTCCACAGTTGGCAGTTGTATCTGAGTGTAAGTCACCTACTGGACCTTTTGGCTCTCACTTGAGCTTATTGGAGGTTTGGAAATTCACTTTCTAAGTTCTAAGCTGCCCGTGGACTGAAAAACTGTGTATAGAATACCAAAACAAGATTGGTCTCCATGCAATTTAAACTCAAGTACTACATACATAACAGTATGTAGTAAATAAAGTTAGTCATGATTATAATGTGTGTATCATTATATCTCTCAAGTTTTTTGTCTGCTGGGTTTTATTTTATCTATTGAACACAATAATTCTCAGCATCCTAGGTGGATTTCTTCTGTATTTTGAATCATTTTTAAATTTTCTTAATGTATCTGCAATGTACAATGTATCCCAAAGTCTGATGCTAAACAGTGCACCACATATTGTATAACCAATTCTAAAAATAGACCACCTCGGTCTGTATGGTATATTGGTGTGAAGCATGTACAGCTTCCATGCAATAAAATGAAATCATAATCACAATCCCTAAAGAATCGCACCACTTTCAGACACAAGGTTCAGTTTACTTCACATGAGAATCACTATGTAGTCTTCTGACGGTCTGAAGGAACAATAAAAATAACTCTAATGATGTCATCAGGGATTCAGCTTGAAAGTACAAACTTACGATTGGAAAGCTTCTGTTTTTGAACTGGGAATATGGAGCTTTATAACGTATGAGCCTTTATGAGAAAAGCCCAAATAATAAACAAGGGTTCAACATGGGCTCAAAATGCCATCCATACCACAAGTTGAGTGCTTGGCTTCACATGGATACCTAGCTCCGGATAGTTTGAGAACATCAGGAAAATGTTTCCCAGTTTCAATGTGTATTTGTGACAATATGATGCGCATCCAATTTAACTAATTATGTAGCCTCCAGATGAAAACAATCAATCCAATGCACACGTATCAAACACACTGATTGAGAGTTATGCTGACAAAGGCAAAATCAATCAAAGTTTCCAGGCTAACCTCACTGATTCAAGGCACATAACTGGACACCACCATGTTTGCTATGCTTGTGCTGTTAGTGCTTCTTGGAGCATTATAACAGACTTATCTGACAAATATCAAAGCCCGCTGTATGGTATACACTGTACAAGAAGTTTGTGTTTAAGTCTTGGTGCGAAAAATCTAATTTTATGAGTCTGACACAGACCACTAATAAGCAGACATTTATGTTTTTGCTTTGTGTTGTAAGCTAATAATTTATCACCCCATCCTTTCATCATGAAGCTCCCAGTGCACAATTTGTGTGCTGATTATAATACAAGAGGAGGTTTGAAACTATTGTTATGGAGGCATTGTTATTGAGGGCGTTGACTACTTACAGGTGATTATAAAATAAGAGGAAAGAAATTTTACAAAGTTATTGTTGCATCAAATTAGATCCACAGTAGAAAATAGTGAGCTCTTTAAAATGACCCACTGGTTTCCTAGTTATGTGTCTTCATGCTGATGTGCCGAATCTCATTCCAAACATTAGATCACTAGTCAAACTCTGCACAGTGACCTACACCGTGTGTACACACCAAACTAAACTGAAATGAGCACTTCAACTCTACCTGCAAGCTCACAAGCTAGCTAACACAGAATGGCACAAAACAGGTAATTTTATGGTGAAAGTAGACAACTTCAAGAATGCTTTTACAGTCAGTGCTTCTTAACTTAGTGCAAAGAGAGGCCAGTGAATTCATCCACCACTTCTATACCTTGCATTTTGAAACCACACAACAGAAGAAATATGGAGCCATAAACAGGGAATTTAGTCTTTCAACAAGGTGTAAGCTGATAAGAGGCATGCAGCTTCAACAGGAACAGCAAAAAGTTGTTTCTGTGAGCCAACTCTCAAAGTGATGGAAATGTAAAAAGTTTCATTATAGACTAATTTGTGTGATTTTGTGTCCAGCACATTTAATATCTTTGGGATTAAAATAAACCCATGTCAACAAATTACACTATACTGCTAAAAATATTTGCTTGTCTACCGTCACATGAAACAAGGTCTTCTGGGAAGGCTTTCCACAAGGTTTAGATGTGTGTTTATGGGAATTTTTGACCATTCTCCCAGAAGTCTATTGTGAGGTTGTGAGGTCAGACACTGATGTTGGAGAAGAAGACCTAGCTCGGAGTCTCTCGGAGTCTAATTCATCCCAAAGGTGTTCTGTTAGTCAGGACTGTGCGCAGGCCATTCAAGTTCTTGACTCCAAATTCAGTCATACACGTCCTTATGGGCCTTGCTAGACCTAGCAGTCTGCAAGCCTAGGTGCTTGATTTTATACACCTGTGACATGTATTCAATAATTTTGATGGCTGAGTGATTGCTGAGTGACTGCACAAACATACATATACTATATTTATATATATACGTTATCGTGATCCTAAGTGATTCTTAGTAAAACTTAATCTGACAGCTCTGGATCTTAAATGAATAATTGTTTCAAATGACACATTTTTCACTAGATTTCTCCTATTTCTTACACAATCTGGCTGTGCAGGTGTTCATTTAGACCTCCAACTCGTACTATTAACAATGGACAACATAACCGGGGAAAAAAATGCATGCAACTACCGACCTTTTTCTTGTTGGTTGGGCAAATGTAGAAACTTGTCACCACAATGGTTGTTCCTGGCATCAGGTTGAGTTTGGTGTAGGTGGTGCCATAGTCAGAAGACCTAACAAAATTGCAGGCAAAAAAACAAGAACAGGTACAAGTTAGTCTGGAAACATTTAAGAGCATTTTTTTCATAGTTTTCCTTTTGCAATAATCCCATGAGAGGTAGGCAAAGATGCCTGGGAAAGCAGCTGCTTATTCTCGCAAACTGTCCTAAAGGTATTGTATCAGTTCTGTTCACCATATCGCTACTTTGCAGTCTGTGGTCTGAGCCAAGTGACAAATCAGAAACGGCTGGGAAACCTGTCATTGCCACAGTGGTGTAAAAACACCCTTGGGCTAGCGATGAAGTCCTGACCAATCCTTAAATCTGGCAGCTTTAGCAGGAGGTAGGGAGTGCTATGTGCGGTCAAGAGTGATAGTTACAGTAGCTGGATCATTTCTCCAGCCCCGCTCAGACATACCCACAAAGCACAGTGAAAGTGATTGTTTGTGACAGGTTTTGACAAATGATGCAGGTTTCAACTTGACAAAGCTTAAGGGGGCTTAACTCTTTTATGGATAATTAATGTCTTAAATTTCTGTCAGGAAGGAAAAGATAAACAAAACTAATACAGGAGATTTTCCCCTATACTTTATTATGTAGACAAGGTAAATTAAGGTTTACGACACTGGTTTGAATAAACAGAACACAAAACAAGTGTACATCAGACAACTTTCTAGGCTTCAAAAACAATGCAAAGCATACAGGAAGAAAGATGCTACAGCATTTAGCTGGAGGTTGAGGGTTCAACAGGAGGGAGCCTTGAAGAAGAGGACTTGATGAAAGAGACTGATGAGCTAGCACGTCAGCCTGGTTAAGGATGAGAGGATTTACTCCTTTGCGCAGTGGGACATCAACCACTGACAGACACTCACACACACATAAGACACATATACCCGAAGCTCTGCCAAGCCATTCAGCAATCAGCTCTCCCAGAGTGCTCTGATACAGCTGGAGAAAATGGAGTGGCATAGCAGGGGTGAGCTATTTCTCTGTGGTGAGCTGGCAATTGTTTTCATCTTCCTCGTTGGCCCGTGTGCCATATTTAACCCTGGATCACTTGGAGGACATGAACAGATCTCGTGCTGATGGCTGTGCTAGCAGCAGAGCTCTGTGCTTATCACAAAAACCCAGTTGTAGATGGAGTAAAGGCCTGCTAGGCCTGGTGAGCAGAGGTCCTCTCAGAGGGTGGATAATTTGGGTGTAAGTGCAAAAACCACATTAACTAGTCACATTAAGTCCTAATTAGCAAGAAGGATGATGATCAGCACTTTATAAACAGTGCTTGGAGAATCTGTTTAAACCATTTGTTCACGCACATTCATTGCCCTCCTTTAAGGAAGACTCTAGCTTCCATTTGTGCCTGTCAACATATGAAAATCTACTTACAAAGAATCAAAAGATGCTGCAGATCCAACTGCTAGAAAGGCATTCAGTAACATTTCCAAGTGCTTTGTATGTGACAGGTAAGAGATAGGTTGTTACCCAGCCTTTAGAGCTGGGTGAAAATATATCTGGTCACTCTTGATATTGAAGCTGAAATGAATGCTAGTGCATAAGAATTGGAATGTTATTCTTGTATTTCTGCAGGAGTGAAAACTCGGTCCCACAAGATTTCCTATGCTCTGTTGATAAACACATTAGCAAAATGTGTTGTGTTGTGTCTTTCTATAAAGACACAACACATTTTGCAACTCATTTAGACTGATGCTTCTTCTGTAAGAGATCTGTAAGAGATCTGTACTTCTGTTAGAGATCTGCAGAAATCCCCTTAGCTGCTGAACATTTCATAAGGATAACTTTAAAAACCTAAAACTGTCTCCCTAAAATGACATTACAATGCATCTACACTTTTTGCCAAGAGCACTTTGATTCAGTTCAATTCAGGTATATTTATATAGCACCAATGAGGGAAGCTTATCTGTTTACATACCACAAATCATAGCAAAAAATAATGTAAATCATAAAAAAAACTCAGCTTCATTTGGATAATCACCTTCTCCACAATAAGAGGAGAATACATCAACTCTATTACTGTACTGGGTATTACTTCTCCAGTTAACACAGAGGCCTCCAAAACCTCCTTATTACACATTTATAGTGCTTCATTAGCCAGGGTGTAATGAAAGGCCAGAGCTGGGGTGGGCATTCTGCCCAGAAATACAACTCAACATATGGACCTTGACTGTCCCTTGTCCCCTAGCTTTCTGTCCTCAATACCCTGTTTTGCCCAGCATCTGTTACAATGAACTTTTTCTTTCCATATATCTTCCATCTGATGTTAAAAATTAAAGGTATGGACTAATCTTTGTCAAATGCTCAAATTACATGTGTTTATTAATTTAACATAAACACACGTCAAATGATCCAAGGAGTACAGCTCTCTCTAGCTGGAGTGCACTGACAAATCCTCCAATCACAATGAAACATTAAGACATTCTTATGAATTATGAAGTATAAACAGGTATATTTCACCTAGGTTTACATTCACATATACCCTGAGCCAGTTAGGTTAGGGTACTGCATTCGAACTGGCTGCACCTCTAAGCAGTTATTTAACAAGTTATTGAAATTCTGAAAGTCTAACAACAGGCCATAGAAACTATACATATAGAAACATAAGTAAAATATCACAAAAGTGCTTCAAAGTTTGGCTATTTTTAGTGCCAAAACAAAAAAGTAAGAAAAGGCAACTTAAAAACAAAAAAACTAATCGGAGGAGTCATGAGGCAAAGATATGTCACTTAGGCTACATTCACACTGCAGGCGAAAGCGCATCAAATCCGATTTTTTTGACCCTATGCGACCCATATCCGATCATGGTATGACAGTGTGAACGGCACAAATCTGATATTTTCAAATCCGATCTGGGTCACTTTCGTATTTGGTACTGAATCCGATACATATCCGATGTTTCAGAAAGCGACTGCTGTGTGAATGGTCAAGTCGCATTAAATCCATCTTTTACGTCACTGACACAAGACAGACGCCAATTATCAGCGCCGGAGAAGCGCCCGATAGGACATCGCGAACGCTTCCTGGCCATCCGGTGAAAGTGCTGGGAAGACAACGTTGGAGAAATGTTAACATTTTATTTGTACTGCATAATCTGCTGATTCTGACAGAAATCTGCAGCTATCCTTTGAAGCACCGCTCCTCTCTAAAACAGCAATAAGGATAATTATTAGGCTATTTACATTATTATGTAATAACTTAAAGCAAAAATTGGGAAACGTGAAGTCCAAAGTCTTTATATTAAGGGCCATCAGTCAAACAATATTGTTTGCTCTGGGTCTAAACAGAGCGTGTTGTGTGTGACATCTTCTTTTGCGCATGCGGGCCGCTTTGAGCGTTCACGCTGGAGCGCGTTTGCGGTCGCATTTTATTTTTAGTGTGAACGAGCAGACAAAAAGATCGGATTTGATCAAAATATCGGAATTGAGCATTAAGACCTGCAGTGTGAACGTAGCCTTATAAAGCTAATATAGAGGTTGGGTAGGGGTTAGAGTGTAAAGTCAGCTGTCTCAGCACCTTACATGCTGAGAATAATGATGTTGAGTTAATAGGAGAGTTCATTTTATACTGTCTACCACCAAGACCTCTGGATTAATAGACTAGTAGAGAGCTATTGTAGATTAATGAGGAATAATTACTTTTAAACAGAGTAGGAAGGTGATGAGAAGAGATATGGACGAGGACAGGGAGCAGGAGAGGGGAGAAGAGTTGAATGAGAAAATGAAAAAAGTTTAATCTGTGGTACTCAGTGTAGCCCTCAGTCCTGGCAATTTAATATTAACAGAAAAGTAGGATATCGAGGCACACGCTGACACAAAATAGTCATTAATATTACCCTTATGTTATTTCATGTCCAAGTCTTCATGTCAAACAGCATAACTGTGAGAAAACATTCATTTTTGATATGCAGTACAAAGGCTTAAACAAGTTGCCGCAGACACAAGACAATTGGTAGAAGGCAAATAGCTGAAATAATAACAGCAGAAAAACGGAAACTACTATAAAACAAGAGTGGAATACTAAAAAAAAACAAAAGGGGAGAGAAGGGAAATGTCTGCGAGAATGAATGTGACAGTGACAGACACTACGGGTGAAATTGTATTTTCCTTGATCTGCTTGAGAAAACAGAGAAATGTGGAAGCACTTTAGGGTGGCGACAGGTGCTGATTCAGATTTAATGTCCTAATATGTCAAGGTTGCTCCCAGCGCTTGACATCTCAGGAAAGAAAAATTGAGTGTGTCAAGCAAATGTCTGATGCAATGGAATACCAAAATATAGAGAGCACAGGAGAATGGATATAAGGAAATGGATTCATGATAAATCCATCTAAAGATCTTCAAAGTGTTAGCTGGTGTGGCGTTATGATGAATATGTGACAGAAGGAAATTCATCCTTCAAGGCTTTTCTCTTCTGAATTCACATGCATTTGGTGAAACATCTGCTGTCTAAGAAGAACTAAGCTAATAAATAGCTTCAAACAAAGCTAACGAAGAACAGAGCAGTGGGTTGGTGTATTAAAGGTTAGCCATAGACATATACAGTAGTTGGCTGAGTCTCATCATGCTGTTCAGTGTCTGATTTCTGCTAAGACAGACAGATACCGTCAGTCTGAATCAGGTCTGGAAAGCCTGATGGCCAGACTTTTAGGGCTGATGACACTCATCACTGATTGGCTGACATACAGATTTCCCAGAGAGGCTAACTGAGGGCAACGTCCTCTGATAAGAGGATAGGATTGAGCTGGATCTTAGTTTAGTATAGAATATGTCACAGTTTCAAGTCTTACACCACAGAAACACAAGAAAAACTCTGCAGTGCATTATGCAGTTGCTCTGTTGACAAGTCTGATGAAGTATGAGGATAAATTTGCTTCCTTACCAGAGTATCACTAACTGACGCTATCTACTGCATCCTACTGTATGAGAATTTGTGCCAAATTTAATCTAGAGCAGGTTAAAGTTTGGGTCATGAGCGATCATTGTGATCGTAAGCGTTGCTATTT